TTCCTGCTTAAAGATGAAGGCCGAGTTCTCCTCTTTGGTGATGTTGATGTAGAAGCAGATATCAGATGCGGTCATGATGTGCCGTGGACCCGGGTTGAGAAGGATGCTCTTATTCTCCTTCTTCACGCCCATCAAGCAGACCCCGTACCTGACCGGAGGATAAAGGCTCCTTTTGGATCTACTCCTCGACCAATCAGACCGAGTAAGACCGAGTAAGAAATCCGGCTTTTCTGCTTACTTTTTGTGAGCGTGGAAGGAGGCGTAGGTGAAGCTCTTCCCTTCGTACTCCATGAAAAACTTGCTGTCGCCCATGCGGATGTGGTAGACCTCGTTGCCCGAGCAGCGCCCGTACATTCTTTGCCACTGCTCTGGAGATTCCTGGCCTTCCCTGGAAGTAACAGAAGAGCAGAGTCGGAAGGGAGCCTGGAGGTCATCTAGTCCAACCCCCTGCTCAAGTAGGAAACCCTTTACCAGTGATGGCGAACCTTTGAGAGACCGAGTGCCCCGACTGCAACCCGAAACCCACTTATTTATCGCAAAGGGCCAGCACGGCAATTTAATCTGTGGTTCAGACTCTTGCAGACAGCTTCAGCTTGCAATAAATCTTTATACTAATTTGAACTGTCTTGAGTTTTCTGATTTCTCAGGCTTGACCTGCAACTTCTTTTCAGTTGGGTCAAACATTTGCCTGAGCGAGAAACTGACCGGCACGTCAACAGTTTTTTTTAACTACTTACTGCCCTCTGGAGGTATGGACGAGAAGGGTAATAAGAGTAGAGGTAGCTGGGCAGACACAATTGAGGGCCAGCATGGCGTATTTGCATTCCTCTTCACAGACCACATGATCTGAAATAAAAAACAGGTCCTTTCATATTCCGAAGCATCATTTTAAATTTCCAGCAGATCCCTTTGATAAGTTCTTTTGGGAATGTTTTTTTTTTTTTAAAATGTCTTTGCTGCTTCAAAGTGTGACACTTTCAAGGATTTGTATTTTGCGATTTTGACTTGTTTTGTCTTTGCAAACCACCCTAGAATAAAAAAAAAATGCTGTTTCTATAATAAACAGCGGTGGATACATTTAAAAAGTGCCTTTTGCTACCGCTGTAAGAACAGCTGAAAAATGTGAAGTCGTTGCTTTCCTTTTTTTTCCCCTGGAGAGAACCTACGCCTTCATTTAAGTTTTCCCCAAGTGTATACATTCACAACTTGCTACACAAGACCTCTTCCCAGTGTATGTCTCCTCCATCACCAAAAACCGTCAATTTGTCACTTCGCACAGTCTGTCATAGAGTCTGGCATGTTTTTAATAGATCAGTCGCTCTTCTGGATTTTCAAAGAGCTGGCTAAACTATAACGTCTGATTTTTTCCCCTTCACTTTATCTTAATTAAATTGAGGGATACCTTAACCAAAAGCCATGTGGGGACATTTTGCCTGCTTCTGAGAGCTGAAAACAGATCTATCGCAAATTAAAAGTTTTAGGTAACTTTTAAAAAATAGGGTAGAGAAGGGCGAGAACGACAGACACTGAACAGAAAAATAAAGCCCCAAAGCTTGTAACCAATATGGTATGTGCAAATGAAACTGTCTAACCCCCTCCCCAAAAACAACGTTCCAGAAAAATTAACTAGCTGTGTCTGAGACAATAAACTCTGTTTTATATGTTTGCAGATGCCAAATCGTTAGGTTTTCTTTTTATAGCCCAGTTGTTCATTTGCTGGCTGGGGTTGATTAGAAAAGGATTGAAAATACATTGTATACTATCCAGCCTTTCCCCATCTGGAGAAATGTTCTTTTTTTTTTTCTTCCTGTTTTGAGTTGGATTAACGAGCATCGGACAGATGGGCAGAAAAGTCCTACCTGCAAACTTGACATGGAATTTATTCTCCGGCTTCAAAATCTGAACGTAGAGGGGACAGTTAGGAGCAAAGTCTTTCACCGCCCAAGCTCTTAGGATGGTTTGATGATCCTACAGAAAAATGAAAAATTGACGCTGCTAACATCTGATATTTTTGCATTGACAACAGATGGAAATGTAGCCCTCTTTTTCCCTTTTCGCTTTTAGAGTTAGATGATGCTGGGAGAGGGGAGGGATGTGAATGAGAGTCCAGCTAGACATAACAACACTAAACCTAGCGTGAGAATCAAGGTTATTGTAACCAGAGCTGATAAAGAATTGGCAGGCTGGAGAGCTGGAGACGAAGCCCTCGCTTCAAGCTAATTGGGGAATGTGATTTATGACTGTTAATTGGAGGAGGGAATTGTGCTTTGATACTATGTGTCCAGGGGAGGGGAATTCAGTTTTGGGCTTTGATTATATAGTGCCGATATTATGCTACTCGAATAAAAGATTATTTAAGGTAAACAATGCCTCGAAGTTCTTTTGAAGAGTTTCATCTGTCAGAACCATGACATCCTACTTAGAAATGGTCCCTGGCAGTGTTTGCATTCTGTGCAGGAGCGTTAGCCTGGGAAGAAGTTTTAAGAAGGTCCAAATTGTTAGAATTATTAGAATTTTCAAGAGGATGTATAAGCAATCTTTGGTAAAGCCCTTTTCTCCCTTCCTGGGCTTAATCACGTTGTCGTTCTGTTTTGTGACTTACGGCAGCTGTGCGGTCCACTTCATTTCGACTGCTCAGAATGAAGCAAGCTTCGCCGTTGTCCATCCTGCAAATATAAAGGGTTCTTTTAACCCGATTCTGCTGGGAAGTTAAATTGGAAATACACCTGGAAAGGGGAAACCATGTTTAATAGACTAATAAAATTCAAGTCGTGTTTTTTTCCTCCCTCTTCAAACCCATTTCCCCCCAAATCCGTATTTCCAAAAAATCCATTTAATCTTCCTTGGGATAGTGATGGTGATAGTCCCCCAATCCTTAGCAAATTTCTGCTGCTCAGTGAGACATTGCTGAAGCGAGTTTCGCCCCATTTTACAACATCCCTTGCTATGGTTGTTAACTAAATCGCTGCGGTTGTTAAATTAGCGACATGGGTTGTTATGTGAATCTGGGCTTCCCCATCGGCTTTGCTTGTCCAGAAGGTCGCAAAAGGGGGACCGTCATAAATAGGAGTCTGTTGCCCAGCAAATTTTGATCATGTGACCCAGGGGGATGCTGTAAAAATCGTAACTGTGCAAAATGGCCCTTTTTTCAGTGCCGTTGTAACTTCGAACGGTCGCTAAATGAACTGCATGTCCAATGAAAGGAGACAACTTGTTGGAACTAAAATCTGCTTTCCCCTTTCCAACTCACTTTGCTCGCATGAGATCCTGATCCTTCAGGGCAGATCCCTGGAGATAGATCACCCGCTGCGACCACAAGGGAATCTGAAGCACCCGGCGCACCTGGATGTCCATTTCTGTAGGGCAAAGGATGACCACGTAGTAGTCCTGAAAGGTATGGAAATGAAGACTCAACCCTCCAGGTCGAAAGTATCTAAAGAAGGTGAGATCATGGACCAACCGGAGGAAAGTTTATTAAACTGAGATGACTGAGAATCTCCGTAGACGTTTAGCCGTGTGCTTTGGGATGAACCCCCTTCGAAGGGAGCGGGAGTGTGAATGGATTTCCAGAAAACGTTGCAGACTACAGGAACCATTTGAGCTTCAGTTTGAGATGCGGACAACCCAGACTCATCCCCACAGCCTATGCCTGTCTCCAACAGAGAAGGGACCCAAGACAGAAGACAAGAAGGCTCCATACCCCTTTGTACTACTCAGGTGACCCTGAGGATGCAGGTAAACCTCCAAGTGGCCTCAACGGCCCTCTAAAAGAAGGCAAATGACCAGCTGTCTGCAAGGAGTATAAATCCTTCCTTTCCCCACATCCAGTTGGAGCTGAAGAAGCTCCTTGGATGAGAAGCAAAACATAGGTGAACCTCCAAGTGGCCTCAACGACTCTCTAAAAGAAGGCAAATGACCAGCTGTCTGCAAGGAGTATAAATCCTTCCTTTCCCCACCATCCATTTGGAGCCGAAGAAGCTCCTTGGATGAGAAGCAAAACATAGGTGAACCTCCAAGTGGCCTCAACGACTCTCTAAAAGAAGGCAAATGACCAGCTGTCTGCAAGGAGTATAAATCCTTCCTTTCCCCACCATCCAGAAGAAGCTTCTTGGAGGAGAAGCAACACGCCTTTCAAAGAAAAAACAAGGAAGTCCAATTGCTTCCTGAAAAAGCACCTTTGGGACAACCATGACCTGGATGATGGAGAATCTCCATAGACATTAAACTGAGATGTTTTGCTACTCATCCAAGTTACTTCTTCAGTCCAAATGAAAATTTTTGGTTAGGCACAGTGTTTTCATTTGGACTGAAGAAGCTACTTGGATGAGTAACGAAACGTCTCAGTTTAATAAACTTTGGTCCAGTTCCCATGATGTAACCTTTTTTTTTAGATAATCCTGAAAAGGACGAGCAGAATTTCTTAACCCAGCTTAGCTTCCCACCTGTGAAGAAACTCAAATTTTCTAAGCCTGCCTCCCAGCCAACCAAACGTTCACCTGCAGCCTGGGATGAGCGTAGAACTCATTCAGGAAATCCATAAGCAGATCTATCTTGAGGGAGCTGACACAAAGCACAACATGCTTTTCCGTCTGGGCCCGGTGGCGGCTGTAATTTCCTCCTGACTTCTGCCGTTCCATCCACAGGTACACCAGCTCTTCAAACTGTAGGCAAAACAAAAAACAAAAACCAACCCCAAGCAGGTGGTTTCAAAAGCAGGTCTTCTGCAAGGATCTGGGCAGAGTGCCCTGTTGGTTAAGGTTCTCCTTGATGGAGAAAGATCAGGGATCTGGGCGCAGTGCCCTGGTGGTTAGAGGTTCTCCTTGAACATCTCTGCTGCCTCACTCCAAAACCCCTCTTACTTAGGGCTCATCCCATTATGTCGTAAACCCCAGCGAGTCATACCTTACCTGCAGAGGCAAGACTACAAGGGCCACACATATCATGATCACCACCAGCAGCTGAGAAGGCCAGATCTTGGGGGTCACGTCCCCGTAGCCGACGGTGGAGAAGGTGACGATGCAAAAATAAAAGGACTTGAAAAGCGAGAGGTTTTCGCCAGCTCTTTCTAAATGCTGGATGCCACAGGTTCTAGATCAGAGGGGGAGGTAAGACAAGATTCCAAGAGTAAAACCAGGGTTTTGTTGTTAAAACTCAGTTAGGTTTCATTCATCTTGCTTCTACAGCATGGAATGTTGACACCTTCTATGGCAGGGGTCTTCAAACTTGGCCCTTTGATGACTTGTGGACTTTAAGTCCACAATTCCTGGCTGAGGAATTCTGGGAGTTGAAGTCCACAAGTCATCAAAGGGCCAAGCTTGAAGACCCCTGTTCTATTGGGCTGGATGGCCATCATCCGAGTTCTTGAGTCATTTTTGAAATGGGCGGAAAAAGAGTTCATGAATTTTGCTTCAGTTCGGATGTGGTCAATGAACTAATATTTTAATAACTTTCTACTCCTTTGCCAACAGAAGAGAGGGCTGAACTGTGGGGTCCTTGGTGATCTCTGAGCTTGGTGGTTTTGTGAAGACGTTTCATGACCCAACTAGGGAACATCTAGTCAACAGTCTGCATGAGGCCATTTGACGTTTGTTTCAAATCATTGGCTTGATCTGGTTCAATCTGACTGCGAAGATCCAAACTGTGTGATAAATTGGCTCAGTCTGATTTCCCTAATCGAGTGAGATGGTCATTCGATCAGGTCAACTGGGTTTTCCGAAAATCAAAACCCACAGATTGCGCTGCATCTCCTTCAAGTCAAATCTGCTGTGGTGCGAGGCATGAAGGGGGACAGTCAAAGGACTTACCCAGTGAAAACCAGACACAGCAGGGTGCAAATTAAAATGAGCACTTGGTTGAACATGGCAGACTGAGTCCGTTGTATTGCTCGATGCAGGTCATTCTGGAAGGAAGGAAGGAAGGAAGGAAGGAGGAAGGGGGAAGGGGAGGAGAGGAGAAGAGAGGAAAGAAAAGAAAGGAAGGAAAAGGAAAAGAAAGAAAGGGCAAGGAAAGAAAGAAAAAAAGAAAGAAAGAAAGAAAGAAAGGAAGGAAGGAAGGAAGGAAGGAAGGAAGGAAGGAAGGAAGGAAGGAAGGAAGGAAGGAAGGAAGGAGGGAGGGAGGGAGGGAGGAAGGGGGAAGGGGAGGAGAGGAGGGAAAGGAAAGGAAGGTTAGGCAAGGGAAGAGTAAAGAAGGGAAGGGAAGGAAGGATGAAGGAAAGGAAAGGAAAGGAAAGGAAAAGAAAGAGAGTTCTGTTTATACCTCACTCCAGCTTGTGGTTCAGCATATCACAGAAACAAAATCCTTGCCTTGACTTGGTACGTGACCCATTACATTGTAACCAGAACCATAAAACGGTTTATTTGTTTAGATGTAGCATACCTTCTAAACCCAACCACTGCATTCTGTTAATCCAGATGTAGAATTTAGCAGGGCATATCAGTCCATTACATCCCAACATAGCAGGATATGCATCCCCCAAACTTCTCATGCAGAGACGGGCCTCATTTCTCCCATCTACTTACTATCATGTTCTCCAAAGCGTACTTTGCCAACCAGCAATTCAAGAACACGGGGATAAATAAATTCCGTAAAGGTGGCCAAAATATCTAAAAAAAAAAAAAAAAAGCCAAAAAGGACTCGGTTATTTTTGCTAGAAAATGTCTTCTCTCTCAAGCTAAGCTTCTTTTGTAACTAACTACATGGACAGGTCTGTAGAGTTCCCAACTCTACAGTGGCAAATGCTATCCTGGCAACTAGATTCTTACAAAGTCCACATTTATTCTGAGTTGGCTGCTGCTAGTATGGCCCATTAGTACCTGTACATTTAAAAAAAAACAAAACCCACCCTGTATTTTCAGTACAGGGAAGGGATTGTCTTAAAGAATGGGCTCCACCGTTAGAAGATAAAGAGAAATCTCATTTTCAGGAATCAAACGTACCGTGATAATAAAGGGCACGGTGTTGATCATTTCCAGGATGAACGAAACACGAAAGATTTGCTCACAAACGTTACCCTAAAGGGGAAAAAAAGAGAGTTGGATACAGATTAAGCTTTGGATGGTTAAATCTCCGTTCCCTCCGTAATCATAATAGATTGCATAGTTAAAGATTGGGACAGCCTATAAGTCAACAAGATAAACAAACCCATAACTCTCTTTCAGATGTTCTAGGTGAATGTTTTCAGCCCTGCTATCTCCAGGAGCATCATCCTACAGTCCCTATTATCCAGCACTAAAATACCGTCACTGGTTGTGATGGATGAAACTCGGACCCACCTATTCTGGTTTTATTAGATATCTAGCAATACAAGAAGGATGAGAGTGATATCCAGATAGATCTGGAGAATCTCAAGTTGCAAAGGAAATTCCAACTCATCTCTTCTGGTTTTATTAGATAACTAGCAATACAAGAAGGATGAGAGTTATATCCAGATAGATCTGGAGAACCTCAAGCTGGGAATAAAACTCCAACTCATCTTTTCTGGTTTTATTAGATATCTAGCAATAGAAAAAGAATGAGAGTTATGCTGAAACAGATCTGGAGAACATCAAGTTGGGGGTGAAACTCCAGACCATCTATTGTGTATTAGACATCTAATACAGCTGTACAAGAAGGATGAGATACTCAAATACATCTGGAGAACATCAAGTTGTAGAAAGCCAACGTGAACTCTATAAGGACTGGGTGAGTGAAGGACTTCCATGCATCAGAAGCAAATGAGCCAAAAAGGAAACACTGACTTATTTTGTGGGAGTAGTGAATGTGTAATAGAATTGGGGGACACCCGTTGGGTGGATCTTGGCATTCCCAGCGATCCTGCAAACATCTTCAGATCAATTCAGCATCAAGGTTGTCAGACCCATAACCACATATAGAAAACCCTGCCCCCTCCCCTCCATCCTCAGGCTAATGTGTGGGTGATATTGCTACACTGGGAATCCTCAATGGCATTTCATTCGGCAGCCATTTCCCTCCCTGCTGCAACCTTCCGGAACTACTTATGCATGTGTGAAAGCACTCCTGCCCTTTAAAAACGTGTCCTCTAACCTTCTTCCTTACCTTATAGCTGAGGTAGATCAGAAGCATTGTCTCAAGAAAGCTAATGATAGCCACACTGACCTGGACGGAGAAGAAGATAGAAAGATAGGGAGGAACTGACCAGGATGGGAAGAATAGTAGGCTATCAATTTTGCAGGACCGGCACCGCCAACACACAATCGCACTTACTTGTATTGCCCACAACGGCTTGTTTCGATCCACCCACAAAATGGGAGCCCTGCGAAGAATATTCACAGAACAAAGCTCAACAACAACCAGGGAGAATCGGGAAAACAAGAAACAGACTGGATCAAGAAGCAATGCTTTGTTCAGATTTTGCAATGTCCTTAATTCAGGCTATAAAATATACAGCAAAACATGCAGCAAAATGGACATAGCTGGACCCTTTAAAAGAGTGCCTAAGACTGTCAGTGTATCCATGAATATTTTCTTGTATTTATGAGGTCCCCTCGCCTATATAATCTCCTCCTCTTCCTTCTAAAAGAGAAAATTCTTGATGCAAACTAAGGCACCATCTAGAATCTAGTTCCAAGGTGCATTTAAGGGTCTTCTTCATATATATATTATTATTTTTTATAGTCACAAATGCTTAATATTTTATCAGCAGCGTATGGTCTGGGTTCCAACATTTAAATTCCTTTCTCTCTACCTCGTTTTTCTAGCCATTGATAAAAGGCATCCCATGCTCTAAAGTATACTGAATCTTCTTTCTCCTTCATTTTCAATGTCAATCTATCCATGTCTCCACAATCTAAAAAAAAAAATTTAATTAACTCTTCCTCTGCTGGTAAATCTTCATTTTTCCAACGTTGAGCGAATACAATTCTCGCTGCAGTTAATACATGTTGATATTAGATGTATACACTCTTTCTCATAGTTTCCTACAATTATGCCTAACAAAAATAATTCTGGCTTAAAATCTATATGTTTTTTGGTCGTTTTCTCTAACCATATATGTATTCTTGACGAGAATCTTTTGGCTTTGGGGCATGTCCACCAAAGATGGTAATAAGTGCCTGGTAAGGGGGAAAATTAAAGGGGCTCCTTGTTAAACCGAAGCTCAACAACAACAACAACAACAACCTTTAGAAAAGCTGCCAACCAATTTACCAGTTGATTTCCGACGACGATTGATTGAAGGAGGAATAGATGTGCTTCTCGCATTCCCAGCTGGTTGGAAAAAAAAGAAGAGACGTTTTAGGAGCAAAATTCCAGCAGAGGGCAATAAAGAAAATAAACGCAGGCCGTCCTCGAATTACGGCCGCAATTTAGCCCAACGTTTCCGCTGCTAAGTGAGACGTTGGTTCGGCGAGTTTGGCTCCATTTCCTTGCCAATGTTGTTAAGTGGATCGCAGCGGGTGTTAAGTTAGTGACCCGGTTGCTAAGTGAATCCCATGGACTTGGCTTGTCTCAGCAGGTCGCAAAAGGGGATCACGTGACCCCGGGACTCTGCAACCGTCGTAAATATGAGTCGGTTGACAAGCGTCCGGATTTTGGCAGTTACGACCTTTCAAATATCCTCATGATTATGCGATCAAAATTCAGACGCTTGGCAACTGACTCGTACTTACGACGGTTGCAGCATCACGGGGTCACGTGCTCCCCTTTTGCGAGCTTCTGTCAAGCAAAGTTCATGGGGGGGGGTAGAGCCAGATTCACTTAACGACCGTGTGACTAATTTAAGAACTGCAGCACCTGACTTATCAACGGTTTGCGAGAAACGTCGTCAAATGGGGCGAAACTCACCGAAGAACCGTCTCACTTAGTAGCAGAAACTTTTGGGCTCCATGGTGGTCGTAAACCGAGGGCGACCTGCATAAGTCTAAGGGCTATGGTTATTGCAAGGGTTGTAAATGAGAATTTCTTACCATCCTATCCGTTCCGGGTCATCCAGCAGAACGCGGACGATATAAAGAAGGCAAGTCAGAAGCTTGAGCGAGAAGTTAAACAGGCGTATTCTCAGGCCTGGCGTGAAGAGGACAGATCAATGTTGTTAGGCAAATCACAACGGCAATAATAACTAACACTAAGTGCATAGCTAAATGTCTGTGGAGATTCTCCGTCCTCCAGGTCAGGGTTGTCCCAAAGGTGCTTTTTCAAGAGGCAACTGCACTTCCTTGTTTTTCTTTGAAGACATTTTGCTTCTCACCCTAGAAGCTTCTTCAGCTCTGACTGGATGGTGGGGAATGGAAGGATTTATACTCCTTGCAGACAGCTGGTCATTTGCCTTCTTTTAGAGAGTCGTTGAGGCCATTTGGAG